AATATTTATCATAACTTATTATTACTATTTTTTATAAATGTTTTTGATAATTATTCGCTTCGAATTTGCATGACAATATCAAATAAAAAATATTCTGCATATTCCGCTTGGATTTTCCTCTAAAAATACAGCAGAAAGCAGAAAGAAAAAACATAGTTTTCATCTTTAAGTCAGTTTAAAAATTTTAACACTTTTTGGGAATAATAAATTTACATTTAAAAAAAATTATAACATCGGTGATTTCATAAATTGAAAGAAATGATTAATATAAAAAAGAAATCGGTAGAATATGGAATGCATTCTGATCGGTGTAAATACGAAAGGATAAGCCACACACACACAATTTTGTGTGTAGCGTGTGAGTGTGGCTTATCTTCACCTTATAGAAATTATCGAAGTTCAATATCAGAGAGTTTCTATTGTATAGAGCGGCCTCTATCAAATCTGCCTGTGAATTGATTTTAATAATAAAATTGACTTCGTAAATCATTTGTGATATAATCTTGTCTTCGCTAGAATATTTAATACCGAATTAAGAAACCTAGTTAGTCGATGATATAATTCGAATTGGATGCACTTTGAAGAGACGAATTAATTTTAATTCTCCAATCGAAAAAGAATTTAATCCACTAATTAAAATTATGTATTGTACCTAATCAGTGTTGCTTTATATCATCAATACAAAGACATTTTCAAATAGGTTGAATGTTCTTTTCCTTGATTTCATTAGGCAATCTATTCTATATATTCGTATTACGTTAACTTCAGCACATTTTTTTTCTCATACAGACATAATGTAAGATAACGTAATACTTATTTCTTATGTACATGTTTTAGAGAAGAAAATTAAACCAAAAAAAAACATGGCAATGTCGCATGAAACAACAGGAACAACTATAATTGAAGAACATTTAACAGTCAAACTGAATATTATTCGTAAAATTGAAAAACAAATGCAAGAACAATGGACTGCTTCAAAAGTATTTGAAGCAGATGTACCCGATCATAGTACCAATAAGTAAGACTTATTTCTTTTTATTCATTATATTAAAATAATTGTTATCTTTCTTTTTTTTTTAGTTATAATACATTTTTCGTTACATTTCCATATCCATATATGAATGGTCGTCTTCATTTAGGTCATGCATTTTCATTGTCAAAATGCGAGGTTTTTAATAAGATTTATTTTATTTGAAATGTTTTCTTTTGTTTTTTAGTTTGCTGTAGGTTATCAACGTCTTCGTGGTAAACATTGTCTATTTCCATTTGGATTTCATTGTACAGGCATGTCTATTCGAGTAAGTTTTATTGTAGAAAAAAATAATAATAATCTTGATTTAATATTATTTATTTTAAAGGCTGCTGCAGATAAATTAAAAGGTGAAATTGAAGATTTGGGTTTTCCACCACAATTTCAAATGCATGCCGATGAAGAAGTTGAAGAGAAAAAAGTAGTAATACTAAATGAAGATGAAAGTAGTGCAATCGATAATAAATCAAAGAGCAAAAAGGTATTCTTTTTTTAATAATATTTAAAAAAATTCATCCTTTTGTTTTTATTCTAATAGAGTAAAGCAGCAGCGAACAGTGATGGTAAACAATATCAATGGGAAATAATGCGTAGTTTGGGAATTGAAGATGATAATGAAATTCGACGATTTACTGATCCACAATATTGGATTTCTTATTTTCCACTTCATATTAAACGAGATCTTGAAATGATGGGATTAAAGGTAAATGTTCATATTATCTCAAAAAAAGAATACTTTCATATATAATAATATTTATAGGTTGATTGGCGTCGTTCATTCATTACAACTGATGCTAATCCATTCTATGATTCATTTGTTCGTTGGCAATTTCATCGTTTAAAAGAAGGTGGTAAAATTCAATTTGGCAAACGGTAAAAAAAAGCACCAAAATTTTATTTATTTTAAACATAAAAAGTTCTCTCTTTTTTTTTTTTATTTATATAGATATACAATTTATTCACCTAAAGATAATCAACCATGTATGGATCATGATCGTAGTAGTGGTGAAGGTGTTGAACCACAAGGATATACATTAATTAAACTTCGTATTCATGATGATCATATACCAGCTATATTAAAAACGCACGTAACATCTTCAACAAATGGTGTTTATTTAGCTGCTGCTACACTTCGACCAGAAACAATGTATGGTCAAACAAATTGTTGGCTTCATCCTGATATACTTTATGTAGCTTTTGAAACACGTTTACATGGTATTCTTATTTGTACACGACGTGCTGCTCAAAATATGGTTTATCAAGAATTTACTCATATTTATGGTCAATATACAATATTAGCTGAATTTCTTGGTTCAGAATTATTTGGATTACCGTTATATGCACCACTGTCATATTATGAAACAGTTTATGTATTACCTATGATGACGATTAAAGAAGATAAAGGTACAGGTGTTGTTACATCAGTACCAAGTGATTCACCAGATGATTATGCTGCTTTAATGGATATTAAAAATAAGGTAGGAAAAAAAAACAATATAGATTATTTAATTTAAAATTTTTGTTGTTGTTTTTTTTTTTTTAAATAAAAGCCTAATTTACGAGAAAAATATCATATTAAAGAATCCATGGTATTACCATATGATCCAGTAGAAATTATTGAACTTGAACCAGATGGTCGTCTTGCAGCACCTACAATATGTAATCAAATGAAAATTCATTCACAAAACGATCGTGATAAATTATTAGAAGCAAAAGAGAAAATTTATACAAAATCATTTTATGATGGAATACTTTTAGTTGGTAAATATGCAAATACAAAAGTATCCGATGCTAAAAAAACTTGTTTGTGATGATTTAATTACAAATGGACAAGCATGTTCTTATTATGAACCAGAAGGTAAAGTTATTTCACGATCAAATGATGAATGTGTTGTTGCACTTGTTGATCAATGATTTCTTGATTATGGTAATGAAAAATGGAAACAAGAAGTTAAACGTACATTAGATAAAATGAATGTTTATCATACAGAAACACGTCATCAATTTGAAGCTGTTTTAAGTTGGTTACATGAACGTGCATGTTCACGTTCATATGATCTTGGTACAAGATTACCTTGGGATGAACAATATTTAATTGAATCATTATCTGATTCAACTATTTATATGTCTTGTTATACTGTAGCTCATCTTTTACAAGCACGAGATTCTTTTAGTGGTGAAAAATTAGGTAAAAAAATTATTCAAGATAAATTCGTATTTTTGATTATTTCTTGTTTTTTTTGTTTTGTAGGTTCAGCAAATATTCTTCCATCTCAATTAACAATTGAAGTTTGGGATTATATATTTTTTCCTGAAAAATCTTATTCATCTTTAACAACAGATATTCCTTGTGCAACACTTGATCATCTTCGTAATGAATTTCAATATTGGTATCCAGTTAATTTACCTTCAAGTGGAAAAGATTTAATACCAAATCATCTTATTTATTCATTATATAATCATACAGCTATATGGCCAAATCATCCAGAATTTTGGCCACATTCATTTCGTGCTAATGGACATTTATTATTAAATTCAAATAAAATGTCAAAATCAACTGGAAATTTTTTAACATTATTACAAGCTATTGAAAAATTTTCAGCTGATGTTTTGTTTGTTCATTTCTTTTTCTATTCATTGAAGGATATAAATATTT